GAGGCTCTAGGGAAGAATCCGTTTCCTTGCCTTTTCTAGAGCTGCATTCTGTGGCTCATGGTCCCCTTCTCCATTACTAAAGCCAAGGTCATGACATCTTCAAATCTCTCTCTGCTTCCATCTTCACATGGCCTTCTGTCTTCTGTAGGAAGCCTCCCTCTGCCTCCCTCTTAAAATGACACTTGCGACTGTTTAGGGCCCACTCAGATAATCCAGATACTCTCTCCCCAGCTCAAAAACCTTCACTGAATCACACTGGCAAAGTTTCTTAGCCACATAACATATAACATCCACAAATTTGAGGGTTTATGATCTGGACATTTTGAGAGTCCCTTGGGCTGCAAGGAGATCAAACCAGTCCATCCTAAAGGAAATCAACCCTGAATATACATTGGAAGGACTGATGCTGAAGCTGAAGCTCCAATACTCTGGCCACCTGATGTAAAGAGTCGACTCATTGGAAAAGATCCTGATGCTGGGAAAGATTGAGGGGAGAGGAGAAGGGGACGACCGAGGAGATGAGAGGGTTGGATGGCATCACTGATTCGATGGACATGGGGTCGCCAAGAGCTAGACATGACTGAGCAACTGAACAACAATGTCTTTAGGGGCCATTATTTAGCCTCCCACAGCCTCAAAGTATCTCCCCAGAATATCATGTAAATACAAAGATGAAAATAATTAGCTTACAGTGGAAAACCTCGTAGGCACCACTTAGACCAGGTGATCAAGGTATCGTTAGCAATTTGGACATCATGTACCTCCGCAGAAGGATACAGCATTATGCCTGTCCTATTCTTTCCAAAAAGGCATAACCTCATCCCACTCATAAGAGAACATGAAACAAACTCAAGTTCAGGCAGAGTCTAAGAAATGTCTGACCAGCGCTCCTCAGAAGTATCAAGGTCATGGAAGACAAGAGTCTGAGGATCTGCCCCAGTGGGGAGATTAAGGAAACGCACAACTAGATGCAAGGTGGGGTCCGCACTGCATTCTGGAACCAAAAAAAGGACATCTGGTGGAAAACTGATGAAATCCAAATAAAACCCAATAGTTTAATCAATAATGTTACACGATGTTCCATTCTTATTTTCATTAAGTGTTGTGTGATTTCTTGGGCTTCCCTGGTAGCTCAGCTGGTAAAGAATCCGCCTGCAATGCAGGAGACCCCGGTTCGATTCCTGGGTCAGGAAAATCCCTCGGAGAAGGGATAGGCTACCCACTCCAGTATTCTTGGGATTCCCTGGTAGCTCAGCTGGTAAAGAATCTGCCTGCAATGCGGGAGACCTGGGTTCGATCCCTGGGTCAGGAAGATCCCCTGGAAAAGTAAATGGCAACCCACTCCAGTATTCTTGCCTGGAGAATCCTCATGGACAGAGAAGCCTGGAGGGCGACAGCCCATGGGAACGCAGAGTCAGACATGACTAAGCGACCAAGCACAGCTGTGGTTTCTTAAGAAGTCAGCCTAAGGGGAAACTGGGTGAAGCCTACACAGGAACTTATTTAAGTCTCAAACAAAGAGAAAACAAGGCATTTTAAAAAGAGGACAAAGGGAATGACGGAAGTAGGGAGGAAGGCAAGGAGGGAGGGAAAAGGAATGGAACCAGTAAGGGGAGCCCTTCATTTAGGATCTTTGGGCGCCCTCTTGCTGGTCACGAAACTGAACATCGATGGCATCCACCATGCTGGACTTCATTATTATACAAAGTAACTGTCCTTTTCTTTCCAATTGTTGCCCTGCTCTGAAACACTTTTCTCAAAGCCAGGGTACCCTGCTCTTACTGATTTATGGTTTCTTTCTTCCTCTAAAAACCCATCAAAGCCTCACTGTTTACTGAACCTTTCTTTTCTCTAAACAAAATTTTAATTGTTCAGTGGCTCAGTCGTGTCAGACTCTTTGCAACTCTGCAGACTGCAGCATGCCAGGCTTCCTTGTCCTTCACTATCTCCCAGAGTTTGCTCAAATTCATTGAGTCAGTGATGCTATCCAATCCTCTCATCCTCTGTCATCCCCCTCTCCTCCTGCCTTCAATCTTTCCCAGCATCAGGGTCTTTTCCAATGAACTGGCTCTTCACATCAGGCGCCAAAGGGTTGGAGCTTCATTTTCAGCATCAGTCCTTCCAGTGAATATTCAGGGTTGATTTCCTTTAAGGCTGACTGGTTTGATCCCCTTGCAGTCCAAGTGATTCTCGAGTCTTCTCCAACACCACAATTCGAAAGTATCAATTCTTCAGCCTTCTTTATGGTCCAAGCTCACATCTATACATGACTACTGGAAAAACCATACCTTTGACTATATCACCTTTGTTGGCAAAGTGATGTCTCTGCTTTTTAATATGAAATTAAAAGTGTCTTTTAATTTCATGGCCATAGTCACCATCTGCACAAGAAAAGAAAATCTGTCACTGCTTCCACTTTTTCCCCTTCTATTTGCCATGAAGTGATGGGATCAGATGCCATGATCTTAGTTTTTTGAATGTTGAGCTTTAAGCCAGCTTGTTCACTCTCCTTTTTCACCTTTATGAAGACACTCTTCAGTTCCTCTTCACTTTCTGTCATTAGAGCAATACCATCTGCATATCTGCGGTTGTTGATATTTCTGCCCACAATCTTGATTCCAGCTTGTGCTTCATCGGTGCATTTCACATGATGTACTCTGCATATAAGTTAAATAGAGTAACAATACAAAGCCTTCTCTTACTCCTTTCTCAACTTTGAACCAGTCCATTGTTCCAGGTCCAGTTCCGTTGCTTCTTGACCTACATACAGGTTTCTCAGGAAACAGATAAGGTGGTCTGGTATTCCCATCTCTAAGAATTTTCCGATTTGTTGTGATCCACACAGTCAAAGGCTTTACCATAGTCAATGAAGTAGAAGTAGATTTTTTCTGGAATTCCCTTGCTTTCTCTATGATCTAAGAAATGTTGGCAATTTGATCTCTGGTTCCACTGCCTTTTCTAAATCAAGATGTACACGTGGAAGTCCTCAGTTTATGTACTGTTAGAAGCCTAGCTTGAAGGATTTTGAGCATAACCTTACCAGCAAGCAGATTGAGGACACTCATATAGTAGTTTGATCATTCTTCGGCATTGCCTTTCTTTGGGACTGGAATGAAAACTGACCTTTTCCAGTCCTGTGGCCACTGCTGAGTTTTCCAAATTTGCTGACACATTGACTGCAGCACTTTCACAGCATCATCTTTTAGGATTTGAAGTAGCTCAGCTGGAATTCCATCACCTCCACTAGCTCTGTCTGCAGTAATACTTCCTACGGCCCGCTTGCCTCCACACTCACTTCACTAGGCAAGTGGCCACGCCACTGCAGCTATCCAGGTCATGAAGATCTCTTTCGTACAGTTCTTCTGTGTATTCTTGCCGTCTCTTCTTAATCTGTTCTGCTTCTGTTAGGTACGTACCATTTCTGTCCTTTATTTTGCCCATCCTTACATGGAATACTCCCTTGATCTCTCCAGTTTTCTTGACGAGATCTCTAGTCTTTCCCATCCTATTGTTTTTCCCTACTTCTTTGCACTGTTCATTTAAGGAGGCCTTCCTATTTCTCCTTGCACAAAGCCACGACCACTTGCTGGCTGAACTCTAAGACCAGTCAGGTGCAAGCAAACCATCTAAAAGCTCCTCCCACTGACCATCCCACTGGACAACTGGGGACATCACAGGGTCACAGGCACCCATCCAAGCCAGGGTTCCCTGCTCCTACTGATTTGTGATTTCTTTCGTCTTCTAAAAACCCATCAGAAGCCTCACTAGTGACTGAATCTAGTGAGCTAGACAACCAGGGATGTGGAACAGAGGGTCAGACGTGTTGGTGGGTCAGAGCCTCCAGAAGTGACAGATGTGAGTGTGTAAGGGACACAGTACTCTGGGGGATATCAGGCTTACTAACATCTCGACTGTGGAATGGAAGGCCTGGCCAATAAAACGCAAGCAATTTTCATTCATGATGTTTCACATTTGCATCCTCTAACATTAGGAACTCACTGGGTTCAAGTAAATCGAATACAGCTCTTCATGAGGAAAAGATGGGGATTTCTTGTGGCAACTGACAGTGAACACCAGAAATACAGACTGGCAGGGTCCTGCCTGCATCGAGACCACAAGTTTTATTTAGTCCACACAATATTTTTTTTTTTAAGTTTTTAACGGGATGCCAATGTTTTGAAATCTGGAAATGCACATTCAAAAATTAAAAGACTTCAGGTTTTTGATGAAAAAAAAAACCTTCTGACCTGGCTGTGTTGGGTCCTCACTGTTGCCTATTGGCCACGTGTAGGAACCGAGAGGCTGCCGCCTCTAGGCGGTCCCTGCTCTGCAGTTCCTCCCCACCACTTACACAAGCTGTGCGTGTGGCCGATACTCACAACAGCACATTCACGTGTATTCCACACCTCATCCTTGTGGCACTAGTGCTTGCACTCTCTGCTTTGTGGGATACCACATACAAGCTTTCAACAGCTAAAAGGACCTCACCTTCCCTCTGCACTTGATCTGAGCCAAAGGGGTGACCACCTCCCAATACATAAGCTCCTTAATAATGTTCATCCCTGGGACTTCCCTGGTGGTCCAGTGGCTAAGACTCTGCGCTCCCAATACAAGGGGCCCAGGATCGATCCCTGGTCAGAGAACTAGATCCCACATGCCACAACTAAGTCACATGCCTCAGTTAAGACCCGACAAAGCCAAATAAATAAATTAAAAAAAAAATAATGCTCATCTTTCTTTTATACAAGTGACTATAGCTCATTATAACTATTCTGCAAAAAACAAAACACATATATTTCATCTTCTACCTTTCATCCTTTTACTCTTAATGATATCCTGGACCACTGGATCAGAATCACCTGGAAGGGTTGTTAAAACACAAACCACGCCCAGTAGTAACCAGGGCAAATTAAAGGGGGGCTTTATATTTTCAGGGAAACTACAGAGATTCAACACACTGAGCAAGAAAACAACAAATCATCACATTCGCTCCTCTTTACCTTTTACATTCCTGGGGATCACAGTCACCCAATCAGGTCCACTGGAGTTGATTGGCATTTTGATATTGACACCACTTGAAAGAGGAATAAAAAGAGTACAAGCTCAAATTTATTTAATTTAAGGAATTAATTTATTTATTTTAAATTTAGGAACATTTATTTTTCAACATGCATCTTTATTTGCAAATTTTTAAATAGATGGGATTTCAAAGAGCTTTCTAAAGATGAAATATCCTTACAAATGCTAATTCATAAAACTGGTAATTAATAAACTAGGTATCTTATAATAAGCAGGTTATACGGACACATAAACTGAATAAGAATTAAACAGGTTCTTAATTTTTCACTGCTTCACCCTTAGGTTGCAAACTCCAAAATAACAGATTCTGTTTGAATCACTTAATCCCTTGGGCTCAGAGAATGGCTCACACCGATGACCATGTCTACTGTGTCACTACTTGGTTTTCAGGCTACAAGACTATGGAGCATTAAGTCAGATCCCTTAGGCCTTGCCTAGAGAGGAATCCTAACTGGGGACTCATTCATCCCTCAAACGATCAATGTCAATCTTTCTCTTTTTCTTTTTAGTTAGCCTAATGCAAAATTTCAGATTTTTCCCTTAGGCCTTGCCTACAGAGAAATCCTAACTGGGGACTCATCCATCCTTCAAACAATCAACATCAATCTTTCTTTTTTTTAGTTAGCTTAATGCAAAATTTCAGATTTTTAACGGAGTAAAAATGCAAAAATTAAAATCTATACCAGGATTCTGTCAAATGTTTTGTTTTAAAAAACCTATGCCACTTCAAACACTTTCCCAGCAAACTTCTAAGTAAGTAGAATTTTTTATGTGATTCTACTACAGATCTGGCTGGTTCTACTACATCAGCCAGCCTCATCCAGGATATGCAAGTAAAGGCAAGGACAGACATTATTTTATCCTTCTGGATTCACAGGTGTCTTCTGGTTTTAATAACAGGATTTGGTGTTAGGAACATTTAAAAATTTTTACACTAACTTAGTTCTCTAAACTCTTCCCCACTTTTTTTCCACGTGGCATTTCAGTAAATTACATACTATGCTTCTTCCACTCTGCTAAGCCCCAAGGTAGACTGACAACATGCTCCTAAAAGGGGGTAACTGGAAACTCTTCATACAGAGGCAAAAAGTACACAGAAATAAAATAATCTGCGCATGGTGAGTGTAAATGCTAAGTCTGACTCTGTGCAATTCTATAAACTGTAGCCCACCAGGCTCCTCTTTCCATGGGATTCTCCAGGCAAGAACACTGGAGTGGGTTTTCACGTCCCCTTTCAGGAGATGTTCCCAACCCAGGGATCAAACCTACATCTCTTATGTCTCCTGCGTTGGTGGGTGGGTTCTTTACCACTAGTGCCACCTGGGAAGTCCTATTGATAAATAATGTGCCTAATTAAAGAGTAAAACCAAAGACCTTTTGTATTGAGCTACACATACACACCAAAAAAAAAAAAAACACCCTAGGAAGACTAGTATAGTAAATATACTGGGAGCAGTGCGCCCTCTGCTGGGCTTCTGAAAGCATGGCATGGGTCTAGCAAACAATGTCTTTAAACTTCTGCCACCAAAAGCTGACGGTGGGAAAAACAAAAAATCAGAACTTTATTTTTGAAGCTGCTACAGACTGCATGGGCTTCCCAGGTGGCTCAGTGGTAAAGAATCTGCCTGCCAACGCAGGAGATACAGGAGATGTGGGTTCGATTCCTGGTCGGGAAGATCCCCTGGAGGGCATGGCAATCAACTCCAGTATTCTTGCCTAGAGTCCCATGGACAGAGGAACCTGGCAGGATACAGTTCACGGGGTCACAAAATAGTTGGATACCACTTAGCAACTAAATAACAACCATCTCTACAAGGGAATATTTTTAAAGTACATATCATTTAAAAATAAAAAGCATTTTACATTCTTTCAAATAATTACACTTTCTGACAATGCAATTTTTCTACCTTTTTAATTTCTTAGGAATGTTGTTCTATTTTAGGCACTAGTGATAAAGAACCAGCCTGTCAATGCAGGAGACGTAAGAGACTCGAGTTCAATCCCTGAGTCAGGAAGATCTCCTGGAGGAGGGCATGGCAACCCACTCCAGTATTCTTTCCTGGAGAATCCCATGGACAGAGGAGCCTGGGGGGCTACAGTCCTGTCTATAGGGTCGCAAAGAGTCGGACACGACTGAAGCGACAGAGCATGCACATACACACGCATGTAATGTTGAAGAAAATGGAAATTTTACCCCATACTCGTTCTATATACTTCCTTCTGCATATTATGCCATATATTGATCATTATTCTGAAAAAGTTTCATACCTATGTTCAAAAATAGGAATATGTGCTCAATAATGCAAAAATTTCAATAGCTATTACCTTGAAAAATGCAATTCGCTGTGATATTCCTGGTTTCCCATCAGTTCAGTTCAGTTCAGTAGTGCAGTCGTGTCCAGCTCTTTTTGACCCCATGGACTAGAGCACACCAGGCTTCCCTGGTCATCACCAACTCCTGGAACTTGCTCAAACTCACGTCCACTGAGTCGGTGATGCCATCCAAACGTCTCATCCTTGGTCATCCCTTGCTCCTCCTGCCTTCAATCTTCATGCTTATCATTAAGTCAATCCAGCAATGTTACCATATTCCTACCTTTTCCTATCAATAAGTGTTTATATGATTCTAATGACCAATAATGTGACACTTAAGACTTTTCCCAGTTTCTGAGACATGAAGCTAAAACATTAGCTTGACTGTAAGACCTCCAGTAGCCCTGTTCTTAGATGATGTTTTTATCTGTTCTGTGAAAAAGTGATCTTGCTTGTACAGCTACAGACATGCTATGTAGTTCTGAAGTAAAAGAACAAAGATTTAAGGTATTTAATTTGAACTGAAACAAGCATATGTGTGTATGTATATTAGTCACTCAGTCATGTCTCTCTGCAATCCCATAGACTGCAGCCCCCCAGGCTGCTCTGTCCATGGGATTCTCCAGGCAAGAACACTGGAGTGGGTAGCCATTCTCTTCTCCAAGAGATCTTCCCAACCCAGGGATCGAACCCAGGTCTCCTGCATTGCAGGCGGATTCCTTACCATCTGAGCCACCAAGGAAGTCACTGAAATAAACATACTAATCACAAAAGAGCAGTCTTTATTTTCTTACCACTGCTCCTGAATTGGGCCAAGTTTGAGAGAGATGTAAGAAGCACATAACCAAAATAAGAAAAGTCTCCTAAGTGGGACAAAGACAGTGGAAAGGGACTCTTCAATCCCCACCTAGGACAAGGAGCACATACCTCTGGAAGAAAGCATTCTCTGGAGCAGTGAGGAGGCCCTTCAGGTATCCACCTTTGAAATGGTTAATTCTGCTGCTGCAAGGGAGCTTCTTTGGTTTGACGCAGAACCAGGGTTCGCCAGTGTAGAGGTCTGTGAAGTTGCAGAGCGGAAGACTCCCAGGAAGACACACGTTACACTCCGTAGTTTCAGAAATCCTCCCTGACCGGAAGAGGCTCTTGAAATAGACCCTATCTGGTTTCTTTTCCTGCAGGTTCTGAAGAACTCGGATCCCTTCACTGGGGTGGACCAGAGATATGGACACTTTAACTTGACCTGGCCAGAGCAGAGTGAAAAAGACCTTGTAAAACCCGTTCTGGTAGTCCACCACTCTGCCCACGGCCCCGGCCTGGAGCCTAGGGGAGTGGATTCTGGCCTGCAGGTAGTCTCCGCCATATTTCTTGGGCTTTCTTTGAAAATCCTGCACATGAACCAGCACCTCTAGCTGGCTTCCCACCCTGAAGAAGGCTGCAGAGTTCAAGATGACAAAATAGCTGGAAGAAGGATCGGTGCTCTTCAGAAAGGGGACTGGGCCCACGTCCGGCTCCTGCCACTGCAGGGCGGCCAGCAAGGAGTCCTCCTCCAGGCGCTCCCGGCTGGACAGGGCCTGGCGCTCATAGCCGCAGTAAGGATTCCGGCTGGCTCTCACCACCTGGGAGGACGCGGACTGCCCAGCGCTGTCTATGAACGTGGCTGAAGCGGTCTCGTGGTCCAAGTACTGCAGAGAAAAACGCAAACAACAGAAACCACAGCCATCACGAATCTCCTTACGCCAGCCAGATAAATCCCTGCTTCAGTTTAAATTTTAATAAAACTTACTCGGAAAAAAAAAACTTTATTGGGATGACATTGTTTCAAAAAAAACCACAGCTCACCAGTTTTATAAGGGTCTCACAGCAAATATCAGAGAAAAATCCCTTTGGTGCTTCCAGAAGGAGACGGGGGAAAGGAATCATTCTCAAGTACAGAAGTTTTCCTGTATCCTCAGGGGATATGTCCAAGACCCCCCAGTGGATGCCTGAAACTGTGGCTCATACCAAACTCCGTATATACTGCTTTTTCCTATACATATATACCTATGATAAAGCTTAATTTATAAATTAGGCACAGTAAGAGAGGGTAGCTATTCCCTTCTCCAGTAGATCTTCCCAATCCAGGGATTGAACCTGGGTCTCCCACATGGCAGGCAGATTCTTTACCATCTGAGTCCCTAGGGAAGCTCTGAACAATGATAACTAATAATAATTATAAAACTAATAATTATAATAATTTGCTGTAATAAAAGTTACATGAATGTGGTTTTTCTCTCTCTCTCAAACTATCCAATCGTGGTGTACTTTTCCGTCTTCTCATGATGAGGTAAAAGGTTAAAATCCCTACGTGATGAGAGGAGGTGAAGTGAAGGACAAAAGCAGTGTGATGCAGCGTCAGGCTACTACTGACCTTCTGACGATAACAACGTCAGAAGGAGGGTCATCTGCTTCACGTGATCCTGTACTGAGCCAGGATGATGTCAGTGGTTGAGGATGCTGGGTGGGAGAGAGCAGGACGGCACAAGAGCTTATCATGCAACTCAGGACAATGCACAATTTCAAATGGGTAAGTTGTTTATTTCTGGAATTCTTCCATTTAATACTTTCGGATCACAGTTAACCAGGGGTAACTGAAACCACAGAAGCTGACACTGTGGATGGGGCACTACTGGATGTCAGAGGATTCTATTCTTTTTTTTTTAACAAGGCCTGCCCTCAAGAAAAACTATTTTATCAGAGCCGAACCTACTGGGGTTTTATCAGAGCCTAACCAAACTGAGGTAAAGGACATACCCAACACCAGTCCATTCTAAACATTCCATCCAATTTAAGAGTTGGTGGGGGAGTGGGGGGCTGAGACTAAGAAGCAGCTCTGAAGTTCACAGACTCATTACAGGACTGAGGATCACAGGACTATAAGATGCTTCACCTCCCCCACATTTCATCTCTACATCATGAAAAGTCTATTTCCTGGAGTTCCTTGTAGGCAGTACCTCCTGTCCAGCTTTCAGCAAAAAATTACAAGACATACTAAAAGGAAAAAAGAAAAACACAGTTTGAAAACACAGATCAAGCATCAGAACCAGACTGAAAAATGACAAGAATGTTGGAATTATCAGACCATGAATTTGAAACAACTATGTTGTAAATCAATGGCTAATTCATTTCAATGTATGACAAAAACCACTGAAATGTTGTAAAGTAATTAGCCTCCAACTAATAAAAATAAATGGAAAAAATAAATAAATAAATAAAAACAGGACAAGACAAAAAAAAAACAACTATGATTAATATGCTAAGGGGCTCTAATTGAAAAAGCAAGCAACGTTCAAGAAATAATGGGCAAGGTAAAGAAAGAGGTGAAAATCCCAAGCAGGAATCAAAAACCAAAAAAAAGCCAGACAGAGCAGAGAGGATTTTTAAGTACGGAAAAATGCTCTAGCTGAAATTATAATGACTGGCAAACATCCTTATACATTTGTCCAAACTGATAGAATGTATAACATAAAGAGTGAATCCAGAAGATATTAAGAAGAGGTGGCAAGAATATACAGAAGAACTATACAAAAAAGATCTTCACAACCCAGATAATCATGATGGATGTCACCTAGAGCCAGACATCCTGGGATGTGAAGTCAGGTGGGCCTTAGAAAGCATCACCATGAACAAAGCTACTGGAGGTGATGGAATTCCAGTTGAGCTATTTCAAATCCTGAAAGATGACGCTATGAAAGTGCTGCACTCAATATATCAGTAAATTTGGAAAACTCAGCAGTGGCCACAGGACTGGAAAAGATCAGTTTTCATTCCAATCCCAAAGAAAGGCAAGGCCAAAGAATGCTCAAACTACCGCACAATTGCACTCATCTCACACGCTAGTAAAGTAATGCTCAAAATTCTCCAAGCCAGGCTTCAAAAGTACGTGAACTGTGAACTTCCAGATGCTCAAGCTGGATTTAGAAAAGGCAGAGGAACCAGAGATCAAATTGCCAACATCCGCTGGATCACTGAAAAAGCAAGAGAGTTCCAGAAAAATATCTATTTCTGCTTTATTGACTACACCAAAGCCTTTGACTGTGTGGATCACAACAAACTGTGGAAAATTCTACAAGAGATGGGAATACCAGACCACCTTACCTGCCTCCTGAGAAATCTGTATGCAGGTCAGGAAGCAACAGTTAAAACTGGACATGGAACAGACCAATTCCAAATTGGGAAAGGAATACAACAAGGCTGTATATTGTCACCCTGTTTATTTAACTTTTATGCAGAGTCCATCATGAGAAACGCTGGGCTGGAGGAAGCACAAGCTAGAATCAAGGTTGTCGGGAGAAATATCAATAACCTCAGATATGCAGATGACACCACCCTTACGGCAGAAGTGAAGAACTAAAGAGCCTCTTGATGAAAGTGAAATAAGAGAGTGAAAATGTTGGCTTAAAACTCAACATTCAGAAAGTTGGAACCAGATCATGGCATCTGGTCCCATCACTTCATGGCAAATAGATGGGGAAACAGTGACAAACTTTATTTTGGGGAGCTCCAAAATCACTGCAGATGGTGACTACAGCCATGAAATTCAAAGACGCTTGCTCCTTGGAAGAAAAGCTGTGACCAACCTAGACAGCATATTAAAAAGCAGAGACATTACTTTGCCTAGTCAAAACTATGGTTTTTCCAGTAGTCAGGTATGGATGTGAGAGTTGGACTATAAAGAAAACTGAGCACCAAAGAATTGATGCTTTTGAAGTGTGGTGTTGGAGGAGACTCTTGAGAGTCCCTTGGACTGCAAGGAGATCCAACCAGTCCATCCTAAAGGAAATCAGTCCTGAATATTCATTGGAAGGACTGATACTGAGGCTGAAGCTCCAATACTTTGGCCACCTGATTCAAAGAACTGACTCATTTGAAAAGACCCTGATGCTGGGAAAAGATTGAAGGCAGGAAAAGGGGATGACAGGGGATGAGATGGTCAGATGGCATCACTGACTCTGTGGACATGAGTTTGAGTAAGCTCCAGGACCTGGTGATGGACAGGGCTGCAGTCCATGGGGTTGCAGAGTCAGACACGACTGAGCTGAACTGAAGAGTGAATCCTAAAGTAAACTATGGACCTTGGGTGATTATGATGTGTCAGTGTACGTTCAGCCTTGGTTAAAATTAAAAAAGAAGTGCCATTCCAGTGAGTGATGATAATAACAGGGGAGGCCATGCATACATCAAGACAGAGTGTATGGTAACTGCCTGTAATCTTCTGCAGTGTAAGCCCCAAGAGTTGTATTTTTTCTTTTGTAATGCAAGTGTCTGACTTCAACTTTGATTGTCAAGACATTCACATGATGAGATGTAAAGAGCCACGCTCTTCCCCTGCCCCCAAGGCTTCTTTATTTTAGGGATCTTTGTTGACTGAGACAAATGACCCTTTGGGCCACTTTTTCTCTCTTCCCATGCTTTAAATTCCTAATCGTGTTTTAAGTTCACCAGTAAAGAATAAACCCATGGGCATCTAGGTTGCTTCCATGTCCTGGCTATTATAAACTGCCCATCAGCAGACGAATGGATAAGGAAGCTGTGGTACATATACACCATGGAATATTACTCAGCTGTTAAAAAGAAATCATTTGAGTCAGTTCTAATGAGATGGATGAAACTGGAGCCCATTATACAGAGTGAAGTAAGCCAGAAAGATAAAGAACATTACAGTATACTAACAAATATATATGGAATTTAGAAAGATGGTAATGACAACCCTATATGCAAAACAGAAAAAGAGACACAGATGTACAGAACAGACTTTTTGACTCTGTGGGAGAAGGCGAGGGTGGGATATTTCAAAAGAACAGCATGTATATTATCTATAGTGAAACAGATCACCAGCCCAGGTTGGATGCATGAGACAAGTGCTCGGGCCTGGTGCACTGGGAAGACCCAGAGGGATCGGGTGGAGAGGGAGGTGGGAGGGGGGATCGGGATGGGGAATACATGTAACTCCATGGCTGATTCATGTCAATGTATGACAAAACCCACCGAAATGCTGTGAAGTAATTAGCCTCCAACTAATAAAAGTAAATGAAAAAAAAAAAAGACAAAAAAAATCAATGTAACATCATTTAATAAAAGTATGGATAGACATGACTAAATAAACTTCCTAAAACTTCTGTTGTTAAAAACACAAACAAAATTAAAAGGCAAATAAACTGGAAAAAGTATCACAAGTAAAGAATAAACCCATGAAATTCCAGGCGCCCACCCTTGAGCCTAATAAAAACAACCTCAGGCCCATGTTCTCTCTTTTTTTCTCTACCATGACCTAGGTGTGTGGCCCCAGGCATGCCATGTATCCTCCAGGACCTAAGAGTAATACACCTTGCTCTTTTTTCCCCCAGTTTCCTGATGATTAATGCTGAGGGCACCCTGCAATCATAAGAGCCACAAGGGCCAGTTCAGTCACAACACTGGCTATTCATAGGCTGATCCAGATATAAAACACTCCTTCTCAATTTTGTTGTAAATATAAAACTTTTCTTTGAAAAATAGAAATTAAAAGAAATTCAAGGGAATTACCTGGATGTCCAATGGTTATGACCCCACACTTTCACTGCTGAAGGCCCTGGTTCAATCCCTAGTTGGGGAACTAAGATTCAAGAAGACACACAGCAAGGCCCTCCCCTTAATAAAAGAAAAA